CAGACGGACATATGCACCTTAAAATCATTCCATACACCAAATATAGTTGACCTATTGCTTATAGTTTAAGAAAAACAGACCAAAACTCAAAAACTTAAGACTGAGCAATGAACCGTGAAAATGACATCAAGGTAAAAAAAAAAAAAAACCTGCCTGACTGACATGTACATTGTAAAATATTTCCATACACCAAATATAGTTGACTTACTGCATATAGAATAATAAAAAAAGGACCAAAACACAAAACCATGAGAATGAGGTCAATGTCAGATGACACCTGCCAGTTGGACATGGACACCTTACAATCATTGGTCATTTTTTAAAAAGGTTTAACTTGTGTCAATGGATAACAAAAAATGTCCTTCCAAAATGATTTCCGGTCCTTGTTTTTAAAAATTTGCGGCCGTGTAATGGTATGGCGTTGTCGTCGTGAGCGTCGTTGTCAGAGGACATTTCGTTTCCAGACAATAACTTGAGTATAAGTGCATAAATCTCTATGAAAATGTACCACAAGGTTCTTTACCACAAAAGGAAGGTTGGGATTGAGTGACTTCCATCTACAGTCGGATAGAGATCAATCTACAAAAGATCGATACCGTAGATGACAAAATACCATCAGAAAAGTTCAATATTAACATGATCAACGTAAATCATACATGAAAACTGTCGTTGCTATGCAGTGCGTACGGTTGCTCGGTAGTTTCTAAGCATACAACAAGCTAACAAAATTAAAGATTTGTACAATTACCGTTTAAGTAACTATAATAGAAACATAGCTTTGGTTAACACATTATTGATTACATAAACCTTGAGCAGATACAAAAGATTGTGGGTTTCTTAGTAAAAGGTATTGTTGCTAAGAGTCATTATGGTGGATAAGGTGTTGATATATAATCGTTTAAATAATATAATAATGTAATTAAATAAAACGTAATGGTTTGAGATTTCCATATATGACACAGTTTGATTCATACGGAATAGACGCATTTTTGATAAATAAGGTTTTTAATAGTATATTAATGGCAGCTTTCAAATCTGTTGCTAGGCAACCAAAAAATGATAATAACAAAAAAATTGTCATTTTTTTAAATTTCTATACTTAGTCTATTGCAATTATAAAATTCAATTCATTTGAAGAGGGGGCCAAAAGTGACCCTAATTGTACCTTATCTTTTATACATGCAAAAATAACCCATTTACCTGTCCTCAATCAACACTTTTCAATTAAAAGTTAATTAAACAATATTGTATCCAGTATACTCCCTTGTTTGCACAACTTTTCCACCTATTCCCATTTGACATTTTACTTTTCTTACCCGATTTTTGAAAAGTGGGAATGTACCATTTAACAATGCAAAATGAACCATTAATTAATCAAATGAAAATAAATTATTTCAAAAAAGAAATTTTTGTTATATACTAAAAGTTTAAAAGCCAAAAAGAAATGTAGAAAATATTTTTAATTGCGATATAAATTTTGATATCTAAAGGATATAAAAACAAAACATACAGTCAGGACAGAATAAGGTATAAAAACCTCTTACGTTTTGATGATTTAGTAGAAAAAGCCTACTAATATTCAGACTTATATGTAAACCCCAAATCTCATGTAAAATACAAAAAACACAAGTTAGCAATTGAAACCAACGTCGCTAGATTAACTTTGCTTCAACGGACTTATTATTATTAAGCTGAATGTTTAACTAGTTGTATACATATTTTATTTTATTTTATTTCATCTTATTTCTTGATTTAAATTTTCCTGCAATAATCACATTAAGTAAATGAAAATTTTTGAAGGCCAAAAATGTATAAGGACTGAAAGAGTTGAAGGGCAAAAATGTATAAGGACTGAAAGAGTTGAAGAACTATATGACCAAAAAGGACCTTAAATAATAGCCAAGTCCATCAAAGGTCAACATTGCCTGAGGGAGTTGAAACCTTAGCTTCATAATCATTTTTAAATTTATAAATGCACAATTTTATTGAATTTGATTAGCGTTTCAATTAAATTTTAATTAATTTTCAATACCTCTGTTTTTGTTGTTAAAATTAATGAAAATACATATGTTTCAAAACTAAGACGACACTACAAATACTGAAAATATCCAAAAATTTTAAAAAATTGTTTAAAAATTACTGTTATGAAAATGAAATTACTATCATTTCATTCCATTAAATTTCACATTCCACGTAAAATGAATATAAAATGCATTTGTTGACTGTCATATTTTAATCTCATGTAAAATACAAAAAACATAAGTGGGCAATTGAAACCGAGATCGCTAGATTAACTTTGCTGCAACTGACTTGTTATTATTAAGCTTAATGTCTAACTAGTTGTATACATATTTAATTTTATTTATTTTCATCTTATTTCTTAATTTAGATTTTCCAGCAATAATCACATTAAATAAATGAACATTTTTGAAAGCCAAGAATGTATAAGGACTAAAAGAGTTGAAGAGCTATATTACCAAAAAGGACCTTAAATAATAGCCAAGTCCATCAAAGGTCAACGTTGCCTAAGGGAGTTGAAACCTTAGTTTCATAACCATTTTTAAATTTATAAACGCATAATTTAATTGAATTTGATTAGCGTTTCAATTAAATTTTAATTAATTTTTAAAACCTTTGTCCTTGTTGCTTAAATTATTGAAAAGACAATGTTGCTTATGTTTCAAAACTAAGACGACACTACAAATACTGAAAACATCCAAATATAAAAAAAACTGTTGTTTAAAGATAACTGTTATGAAAATGAAGTTATTATCATTTTATTCCATAGATTGTCACATTCCACGCCATATGAATATAAAATGCATTTGTTGACTGTCATATTTTAATCTTTTTCTTTCATTATAAGAGTATAAATTTGTCGTTTTGTTTCTCATTCGTTTTTATTAGATTCACATTCCAGGGCCTTTGCTAACTTACTTAACAGTATTGGTGTTTCTAATTGTAAGTAGAAACTCGGTGATTAGTCTCATTTGGCGATGCCAAAATCTATAAAAGGAAGACGGGATACATAATTATCAGGCAAAACAAAAAACTTACAGAATTAGGATATATCCAGCACGAGGAAGCTTAGTGGATTTATCTACTATTTACTTCAAAAACGACCAGTAATACCTGTGTCACATAAATGATTTAAATGACAGGAAGAAGACCAACCTACTGTGCACCTTTATCATTTATCACTGCGTGTATTGTCACCTGCGAGAAATTTCTTTTGTTAGAGTTAATAACATTAACGGTACAATTTTTACTGCAACAAATGCTCACTTAGACAATTGATATCACTTCAGTGATGATCGAGGCCAAATCTTTTGAAAATCCCAAATCTTATGCAAGCGTCAAAAAAGAAAGTTTTGTTATATATTAATAGTTTAATGGCCAAAAAAAAATGCAGAAAATATTTATAATTGAGATATAGATTTAAATATCTAAGGATATAAAAACAAAACATACAGTCAAGACAGTATAAGGTATAAAAACCTCTTACATTTGATGATATAGTAGAAAGAAGCCTACTAATATTCAGACTTATATGTAAACCCAAATCTCATGTAAAATACAAAAAACATAAGTGGGCAATTGAAACCAACGTCGGTATATTAACTTTGCTGCAACTGACTTATTATTATTAAGCATAATGTCTAACTAGTTGTATACATATTTTATTTTATTTAATTTCATCTTATTTCTTAATTTAAATTTTCCTGCAATAATCACACTAGATAAATGAACATTTTTGAAAGCCAAGAATGTATAAGGACTGAAAGAGTTGAAGAGCTATATGACCAAAAAGGACCTTAAATAATAGCCAAGTCCATCAAAGGTCAACGTTGCCTGAAGAAGTTGAAACCTTAGCTTCATAATCATTTTTAAATTTATAAATGCACAATTTAATTGAATTTGATTAGCGTTTCAATTAAATATTAATTAATTTTTAATACCTCTGTCCTTGTTGTTAAAATTAATGAAATACAATGTTGCATATGTTTCAAAACTAAGACGACACTACAAGTACTGAAAATATCCAAATAAAAAAAAAACGGTTTAAAAATGACTGTTATGAAAATGAAGTTACTATCATTTCATTCCATTTAATTTCAAATTCCACGTAAAATGAATATAAAATGCATTTGTTGACTGTCATATTTTAATCTCATGTAAAATACAAAAAACATTAGTGGGCAATTGAAACCAACGTCGCTAGATTAACTTTGCTGCAACTGGCTTATTATTATTAAGCTTAATGTCTAACTAACTAGTTGTATACATATTTTATTTTATTTAATTTCATCTTATTTCTTAATGTAAATTTTCCTGCAATAATCACACTAGATAAATGAAATTTTTTGAAAGCCAAGAACGTATAAGGACTGAAAGAGTTGAAGAGCTATATGACCAAAAAGGACCTTAAATAATAGCCAAGTCCATCAAAGGTCAACGTTGCCTGAGGGAGTTGAAACCTTAACTTTATAATCATTTTTAAATTTATAAACGCACAATTTTATTGAATTCGATTAGCGTTTCAATTAAATTTTAATTAATTTTTAATACCTCTGTCCTTGCTAAAATTATTGAAAAGACAATGTTGCATATGTTTCAAAAATAAGACGACACTACAAATACTGAAAATATCCAAATATAAAAAAAACAATTGTTTAAAAATGACTGTTATGAAAATGAAATTACTATGATTTCATTCCATTAAATATCACATCCCACGTAAAATGAATATAAAATGAATTTGTTGACTGTCATATTTTAATCTTTTTTCTTTCATTATAAGAGTATAAATTTGTCGTTTTGTTTCTCATTCGTTTCTATTAGAATCATATTTCATTATTCTAGGGCCTTTGCTATCTTATTTTACAGTATTGGTGTTTCTAGTTGTAAGTAGAAACTCGGTGATTAGTCTCATTTGGTGATGCCAAAATCTATAAAAAGAAGACGGGATACATAATTATAAGGCAAAACAAAAAACTTACAGAATTAGGTTATATCCAGCACGAGGAAGCTTGGTGGATTTATCTATTATTTACTTCAAAAACGACCAGTAATACCTGTCTCACATAAATGATTTAAATGACAGGAAGTAGACTAACCTACTTTGCACTTTTTATCATTTATCATTGCGTGTATTGTCACCTGCCACAAATTTCTTTTGTTAGAGTTAATAACATTAACGATACTTAGTTGACTGCTCCAGGTGCTCATTTCGACAATTGATATCACTTCAGTGATGATCGAGGCCCGATCATTTGAAAATCCTAAACCTTATACAAGCGTTGAACAGCATATAAAACCAAAAAGGACCAAAAGTAAAACTAAAACTGGTAAGTAGGGGTTGTTTGCCGTGAATCAAGAACTTTTTAACGAAAGGTCAATGTGTCAGAATATTAAGTATCGGTCTAATGTAAATATAGGCCTTTTGTAAATTCCCGTTTGAATTCAAATAAAATAAAACATTTTACATTAACATTTCAGCGGATAACAAAAGCCGAATGCTCTCGTTATAACAAAATTCATAAAGTATGTTTCCACTTATGTTGAACAATGTATCCTGAAGTAGTTTCTCTAGATTAACATTTAATGAATATTTCAAATAAAATCTAATGTCGACTCTGCTGAATGCTCTGCGAACAATTTTATACAGCCCAATTATGTTTAAACTATTTTTTATATACCTATATGGAGTTATTTCTTTCATATCGATAGGTCATTCTTTTGAAGAAAGAACTCGGATGGAACCAACTTTCAATAAAAAGTGCATCAAGGCATATAATAATGACCTGTGTCAGGTCATTATTTACCTCGATTATAATGCAAACTACAGTATCTTAAAACATTATTAGATAGTAATCGTGTGTTGTTGCAGGTGTTCTATACAATTGTCCATCTTAATATTCCTAAAAGGTTTAAATAGTTATCAAAAGTACCAGGATTATAATTTAATACGCCAGATGCGCGTTTCGTCTACATAAGACTCATTAAAGCAGAAACAATCCTTCACTCGATTTATTATATTGAATACTATATAGCTAGTAACAGAAAACGTCTATAACGCACAATTATACGAGATGTAGTTATGTAATATTCTATCCTGATTCTCAACTTTTTAAGAAAAAATGTATTGCCAGGCAAAACATTTGAAAAACAAATATTCTGAATTAACAACCAATTGTTTAGAGAACAATTGAAGGTCTTTCCACCCTATGATATGGAAAATATTAAAATTGGGTTTGAAATGTCACTTCCAGTGCCAAATGATAGCTTATTCTAACCTGATTTTAAAAATATATGGTTTCTATACACTTTTGTTTCGCCGTATCTCAAAAAACAGTTTATGATTATTGCTTAAAACTTTACACACTTCTTAGTTATATTAACCTTAAGATCTGTATACTTTTTGGTGATGATTCAAAATTTCATTTTTGAGTTATTGATTTTTTTTTTTTTAAAAGGGGGGATTTTCACATGTCGCGCCGTATCTCAAAAACGATTTATGATTATTGCTTAAAATTTTACACACTTCTTAGTTATATTAATCTAAAGATCTGTATACTTTTTGGTTTTGATTCAAAATTTAATTTTAGAGATATTGAGTTTTTTGTAAAAAAAAAAGGGGGTTTTCGCATGTCACGTCGTATGTCAGAAACTATTTATGCTTATTGCATAAAAATGCACACACAAGACGACGGGCATATCATGCGCTCATGGCGCAGCTGTTTATTAATTTTACTAATACTATATGCAATAAGTCTGTTTTTTTAGAATTTATCAGCAATAGGTCAACTATATTTAGTGTATTGAATGATAGTATTTAAAATATGACATTTTCAAAATTTCGGTGTTAAAAAATACAGTCTTTAAAAACATATAAACTTTATCAAATACAATAATATTTATTTAATAAACATTTACACAAGCGACGATCAAAGACATCGTTCATCGTTTGTTGATGTGAATAAGGGAGAAATAGAAACCATTTTGTCAAATTTTTTATTAAAAGGTATAAAGTTCAGAGAGTTTTTCATAAATATATTCTTCACGGCCATATATTTCACGGAATGATGATATACTTTTATTACAATTACATATCGAGGTTATCTAGACAGGTATATTATCTGTTTCATCAAACAGCCCAACGAAACATATACCCAAAAGACAGCTGTGCAGTCCTTTTTTTATTGCACCATGTGCACTTTTTGTTCCTCACAGCAAATTTAGATTCATAAAGTAAGAACATTTCTGTAGATTCTTTGTTTTTGTCCAAAATAAAATTTGATAAAGCAAAGCATATATTGACATTTCTGAAATACAGATTTAAAAAAATACTATTTCCTTACAAAACAGTGATTATAAGGTCCTTTGTGCTCTTATAAACTCCTTTGTGGTCCTTTCTGTTACATTGTGTTTTTTTGTGCTCAAAGTAGGTTCTTTGTGGTGTTTACGAGACCAAAAAAAACATGCTGTCATAGTGTATTGGAATGTCGAAAAATAAGTCTCAGAAAAAAAATCACTGTGTGGGATTCTTTCATGAATTTGGTTTATAATTTTCAAATGTATAAATGATTTGGTCCATTTTAGAGGTCAATGCCTAACTCTATCTCTACCTCTATTATCATGGCCAACAGCCGGTAATAGTTCAGGTGGTCGTTGTGACAAACCAGACACCTTCTACCTTAATGCTTCAAAACGTTTACTGGTCTAGTGCTATGGGTAATTTTAGATACCATGCATACCTCTACTTCTGGTAACCATAACCTACACGGGAAATCAATAGGACATTCATCGAGTACCATCTATGACTATAGGACATTCAACAAGCACCTGCTATAGCTTTGTGACATTCACCAAGGAACTGCTATAAGTATAGGACATTCAACAAGTTCCTAGTATAACAATAGGAATTCAACACGTACCTGTTATATACTACTATATAGAACATTCAACAAGTACCTACTATACCAATAGGATATCCAACAAGTACCTGCTTTAGATATAGGACATTCAACATGTATTTGCCATCACTATAAGACATTCAACAAGTTCCTACTATAACTATTACTACTCTGTATATCTATCACCACTCTGTATATCTATCACTACTCTGTATATCTATCACCACTCTGCATATCTATTTCCACTATATCTATCTCTCGTTTGTATATCTATCAATACTCTGTATATATATCGCCACTCTGTTAATCTACCACCACTCTGTATATCTATCACCACTCTGTATATCTATCACCACTTTGTATATCTATCCTCACTTTGTATATATACCACCACTCTGTATATCTGTCCCCACCCTGTATATCTACCAACATTCTGTATATTTATCACCACTCTGTATATCTATAACCACTTTGTATATTTATCACCACTCTGTATATCTATCACCACTCTGTATATCTATCACCACTCTGCATATCTATTTTCACTCTGTATATCTATCACCACTTTGTATATCTATCGCCACTCTGTATATCTACCACCACTCTGTATATCTATCAACACTCTGTATATCTACTACCACTCTGTATATCTATCACCATTCTGTATATCTATCACCACTTCGTTTATATATCACCATTCCGTATATCTATCACCTCTTTGTATATCTATCACCACTCTGTATATCTATCACCACTCTGCATATCTACCACCACTCTGCATATCTATCTCCACTCTGCATATCTATCACAACTTTGTATATCTATCACCACTCTGTATATCTACCATCCCTCTTTATCCACCACTCTGCATATCTCTCACCACGTTATATATCTCCACTCTGTATATCTATCACCAGTCTGTATATCTATCCCTACTCTGTATATCTATCACCCCTCTATATATCTACCACCACTCTGTATATCTACGACCACTCTGCATATCTATCACAACTTTATATATCTATCACCACTTTGTTTATCTATCACCACTCTGTATATCTACCACCACTCTGTATATCTATCACCACTCTGTATATATATCAACACTCTGTATATCTACCACTACTCTGCATATCTATCACCACTCTGTATATCTATCACTACTCTGTATATATATATATTACCACTCTGTATATCTTTCAACACTCTGTATATCTACCACCACTCTGTATATCTACCACCACACTGCATATCTATCACCAATTTATATATCTATCACCATTTTGTATATCTATCACCACTCTGTATATCTACCACCACTCTGTATATCTACCCCCACTCTTTATATCTATCAACACTCTGTATATCTATCACTACTCTGCATATCTATCTCCACTCTGTATATCTATCACCACTGTGTATATATATCACAACTCTGTATATCTATCCCCATCATGTATATCTACCACCACCCTGTATATATATCACCACTCTGTATATCTATCACCATTCTGTATATATATTCCCACGCTGTATATCTATCACCACTCTGTATATCTATCTCCACTCTGCATATCTACCACCACTCTGCATATTTATATCTACTCTGTATATCTATCACCACTTTGTTTATCTACCACCACTCTGCATATCTATCACAACTTTATATATCTATTACCATTTTGTACATCTATCACCACTCTGTAAGGGGATAGATATACAGAGTTGTGATATATATACACAGTGGTGATAGATATACAAAGTGGAGATAGATATGCAGAGTAGTGATAGATATACAGAGTGTTGATAGATATAAAGAGTGGGGGTAGATATACAGAGTGGTGGTAGATATACAGAGTGGTGATAGATATACAAAATGGTGATAGATATATAAATTGGTGATAGATATGCAGTGTGGTGGTAGATATACAGAGTGGTGGTAGATATACAGAGTGTTGAAAGATATACAGAGTGGTAATATATATATATACAGAGTAGTGATAGATATACAGAGTGGTGATAGATATGCAGAGTAGTGGTAGATATACAGAGTGTTGATATATATACAGAGTGGTGATAGATATACAGAGTGGTGGTAGATATACAGAGTGGTGATAGATAAACAAAGTGGTGATAGATATATAAAGTTGTGATAGATATGCAGAGTGGTCGTAGATATACAGAGTGGTGGTAGATATATAGAGGGGTGATAGATATACAGAGTAGGGATAGATATACAGACTGGTGATAGATATACAGAGTG